CTTGAAAAGATGATAAGGAACCAGGCAGTTTAGATTTTAAACCTGAACTGTTTTTATTAGGTATGATATCAGAAAAAATTAGATAAGAAAAGTATGTATTTAATATTACATGTTGTTAACAGCAGCGAGGGTTATATTCACACAATATTGGAGAAATGAAGAAACACCGCGAGATGAAGAGATAATTAAGAAGATACTAGACTCTGCAGAAATGGATAGATTGATATTGAAAATTAAGCAGAAAGAGGATGTAGAATATTATCAAACATGGAATCTATTTTACCAGTGGTTGGAAAAAAAGGGTGGAGATCAAGAATATAATCAGAATGGTTAAGCACCAATTAAATACCAGACAACACAATGTTTATTGAGCACTAAGAAATGTAATTAATAAAAAATCAATAAAATTTGTGGGGGTGGGGGAAGAAAGTAGATATATTGCATTTCCGCTTCCCAAATGCCAACAGAAGAGAATAGTAATGCCGATATGGGTAGTCCTCAACTTACAACCACAACTGAGCCCAAAATTTATGTTGTTAGGTGAAAAATTTGTTACGTGAGTTTTGCCCCATTTTACGACTTTTTTTGTCACATTTGTTAAGTGAATCACTGCAGTTGTTAAATTAGTAACATGGTTGTGTAGTGAATTTGGCTTCCGCTTTGTTTACTAGAAGGTCGCAAAAGGGGATCACGTGACCCAGGGACGCTGCGACCGTCATAAATGTGAGTCAGTGGTCAAGCATCCGAATGCAAATCATGTGACCACAGGGATGCTGCAATGGTCACAAGTGTGAAAAATTATCACGAGTCATTTTTTTTCAGTGCCGCTGTAACTTCGAACAGTCATTAATGTTCTGACCTAGGCCTCCCGACATCATGAAGCCGACTCCTCGTCCCGATAAAACCTCTTTTATTTAGGTTAAATGGAATTCCTCTCCAGCAAAGTCCTGGCCAACAGTCTTTCAAGAGATTTCACAACCACAGACCTTTATCGGGCTTGGAGAGCTGCCAGGCCGATATCTTCCAAACTCCACGCTGTAGCAGCAATTACTTGGCCAGAAGTCAGGAACAGATCTTCACTCTAAGGAATTGAACTGATTGTCTCCTGCAAACTCCACTCCCCTTTTGCTCCTCTTTATTCCCTCTGGGAGGGGCCTTTCACCATCCACCTATGGCTTTACTCCCGAGTCGGCCCTTGTCCCTTAGCTGTTCCCGTCTCCTGGCCTTGTTCCTTAGCTGTTCCCTTCTCCTGGCAGCTCTGCGCTTGCGCACATCGGGAACCGGCTCCAGCTGTTCTTCTGCTCCACTGATCCCCGACTCCGAAGGCAGCTGATAACTGTCGGATGGCCCTGGCCCCGTCTCTACTTCCGATGCACTCATCGCAGCCTTCCCCAGACCCCAGGACTGGCCCATGTTCCTCCCCAACCTCCTCATTGTCTGAGTCTGCCGCCAGCTCCACTGTCGGGCCACAACAACCAAGTGAATTGTGCTAAGTCAAGGACTATCTGTAGAATGGAAGAGAGCAGCTCAAGGTTGAACTGTGGAGTTGGTGGTTTTTCTTGCAAGAGGTTGCAAGAGACCTCTGCAATAAAACAACCGAGCTCAGACAGCACCAAGGAGCCCACTACTTCAAAACTCAACCACATGAGATACGATTGTAGAAGTCCAACTCATGCAGCCAAAGGGCTTTCTTTGTTATGTTTTCTAACCCACTTAAGGTCTCCACAACTTCCAAAACCTTCTCGGCCACATGTGATAAGATTGCGGAGGTCCAACTCACCTAGAGGAAAAGGACATGTTTTCTAACATGGAATTATGGGCCAGGATCAAGCTGTGATCTAAGTTGGGATCATCCTGCCAACGTTATCACCAAGTTCGGAAGTAGTTTAAAATGATGGCGACTGCGTGTTCTAAGCCTCTCTCCCTTCCTGACCACACAACCCAAAGCTGAGGATACACAACTCATATAGCAATAGCAGTTAGACTTATATACCGCTTCATAGGGCTTTCAGCCCTCTCTAAGCGGTTTACAGAGTCAGCATATTGCCCCCAACAATNAAGATGCACCCAGATTTTCAGCATCTTTTTTGAGGGAAAAAGGCGTGTCTTATACTCTGAAAAAATACAGTAATTTCTTGACTAGGCCAGAAATAAATTCATAGACATTGACAAAAGCTTTGCCATGCAGCTGGGACACAGTAGCTCTCATTGATTTGGAATATTATGGAGTATTTGTTACCAACTAGTGTGTAAAATTAGAAATGTTTTCAAGGCATAAGGTACAGACCAATTATTTTCAGCACTGTACAACCTGAGTTGTTGAGCAATTTGTCTATTTTATATTAATCACATGAAAATCACCCCCAAATTATGCCCCACTGCGAGATGTGCATCTTACCAGAATCTGGCAACTCCATCATGTCTCTCAGCTATTGTGTGCAGAGAAAAACTTTGCACAGTAAAGAAAAATCTCTCATGAGTGCGCAGCAATTAACAATTTCTCGCACTCTTGGGAAGTTTTTCTTTACTGTGCAAGGTATTTCCCTTCATACAATGGCTGAGTGATGCTTGCAGTGGGGTGCAATTTGGGGGTGGCAGGTGGGGCAAGGGGTGGGGTGTGGCAGGGTGGGGTGGAGCGGCCGTGAGATAGGCATCTTACCGGAGACTGGCAGCTCCGGATCTTGCGGCTTTTTCAGGGTTTATTTTTTTAAAAAACCCTCACCTCTCCAGACAAGCTTGAAAACTTCTAAGGTTGCTTCCGGAGGGGACAGTCAGGCAGCATTCTCCCCTCCCATGGCACCTGCAGCCTCAGAGTCTGCAGCCTTGGAACAACTTGGCCCTTGCACAGTAAAGGAAAACTTCTAGTGAGTGTGAGGCAATTAACAACTTCTCGCACTGCAGATTAGAGGCAGCTGGTGCAGGTGCTACACCTGAAGGGCAGGCAGCCTTTGGCAGAGGTGGTGCTGACTCTGGTGTATGGTGCTGGGGACCCTGCTGGCTTTTGCGGCTGCTGCTCGCTGTATCCTGGCCAAAGCCGCACAGGAAAATTCCCTCGGAGTTTTGGGACGCCCTGCTGCCGGGATGGGGACAGGGCACTGCTTGCCGCTGCTGCTGCTGCTGCCACCACAACTATCTTCTCCTGCCACCTCCACTGCCATCTCCTCCTGCTGCCACTGCCCTCTCCTCCCCCCAACCCTCTTCTTCCGCTGCCACCCTCTCCAGCATATGAAGCTTACCGGGCTTCCCCTGTCCCCACCACAATGCTTACCTGTGTGTACGCAGGAGGAGGCAATGGATGAATATGGCAAAGGAGAGGCAGCATGAGCATCCGAGCAGGTGGACCGGTTCAGGGGCATGGTCAGCCAGTGGTCACTACCGGTTCTGTGACCCATGCCAGCAAGCCAGTACCGGTTCGCTGAACTGGTCCAAACTTGTAGGAAACCACCTCTGGTAGAAGCTCATCATAACCCATTTAGTGCAACCAGAAAAGGCAGCAGTGGCATGTGATTCTTCAAAGGAAAGGGGTTAAATAAAGGCTTCCTTAACAGTGGCTAAAGAATTATTGCTTTAGACTGGAGAGCTTTATGTAACATGTTAAAACAATCTTTTAAGAACAATGGGTTGAAAGATGAATTAAAAGTCTCTTCTCCTTCCCTATTCTCCCTCAGTGAAAAGTTACTTGACATCATAAAGGCTACAAAAAAGGGAAACATCATTGAGGATATACAGCTCATACAGTCTATGCTGCTTGGACAGAATAATGATACACTTTTGCGCTGTGATTTATGAGTTTTGAAAATTAACTCCAGACTTTCTGAAAGCTTTGAAATGACACTAATCTACCCCACTGCTGTCAGCTTGGCCAAATTGTCTTTCAGGAAATGATAAAAACACTGAGATTCAAGTGTGGCTGGAGATTATGCAGACTCAGGCATTCTTGGGGCCACTAAAGCCAGTGTGTTTATGTGGCCATACTACTAGGAATAGCTTTGCAACCTTACTACTATGTTAATACACATTTAAAGCATTCCTGACATTTAGTGAATATATGGACATATCTAAGAGGCTTTCTTGTATGCAGAAGCCATGGCAGAGGTGATTTGCTGATGGGATATTTTTCCTACTGTGGTCTCCCATGCAACTACTAACCAAGTCCAGGGCAAGCCATTACCGGGGAAGGAGGGTTCCCTATATTNGCTTTAAGAGGGGTGGACTTCCACTCCCAGAATTCCCCAGCCAGCATGCTTTAAGAGGGGTGGACTTCCACTCCCAGAATCCCCCAGGCAGCCTGCTTTAAGAGGGGTGGGCTTCCACTCCCAGAATCCCCCAGGCAGCCTGCTTTAAGAGGGGTGGACTTCCACTCCCAGAATTCCCCAGCCAGCCTGCTTTAAGAGGGGTGGACTTCCACTCCCAGAATCCCCCAGGCAGCCTGCCTTAAGAGGGGTGGCCTTCCACTCCCAGAATTCCCCAGCCAGCATGCTTTAAGAGGGGTGGACTTCAACTCCCAGAATCCTCCAGCCAGCTATGCTGGCTGGGGAATTCTGGGAGTTGAAGTCCGCCTGTTTTAAAGCAGCTGAGAAACAGGCCTCTACATTCAACCTCTTGCTATTCCCTTCAGGCCTGTGGACCGGTTTTATCGTCTGCATCTCTCTCCAAGCCGCCTCCTTCTTGCTTATCGCCTTACGCATGAACTGGAAAAAAGCCGCCGAAGAGGTAAATGTCTGCCTTGCAGATTTGATCGCGCCTTGTCCTCACTAGTACCCGCCGAGGAATGGGTTCATGGTCTCGACTGAGAACAACAGCAAACCATGAATTATGTCATCCGGGCACAGTCTTCAGAACGAAACCAACTTAGTTCTGCTTGTTTCTTTCCCTTAGGCTCAGATTCGAGCTGGAATAACAGGCAGACGAGGAAGCGCGGAGGATTCCGTTAGCGCAGGTAAAAACGCCACATCCTGGAAAAATGACTAACTTTTTTGTGTGCCGAAAGGCGCGTGCAACATGCTCCCCGCCTGCCTTCACATGTGACTCCTGCGTATGAACACGTGACCCATGCATCAACCCGCCGCCGCCGTCCCGCACATCCGTGCGTGTCCCCCGCACTCCATGCAACCCTCCTAGACCTCAGTTTGAGCCTAGTTTGGTCCCTGCAGCCTTCTGGGAGCAAAAAACGGCCACGGTCGGGGGTTGGCGGAGACCCGAAAATCAGCTGGCCGGCGGGACGCATGTGCATATGCGTTGTGGAGCTGAGCTGGGGCGACAGCTCGCATGCCCACAGTGAGGGCTCTGTATGCCACCAGTGGCACCCGTGTGATAGGTTCAATTGTATTCAATTTTTTTAGACTTGGTCTGCAATGCAAGACAATCTTATTTTATTTATTTCTCTGCATCCCACCTTTATTATTTTTGCAAATGACGCAAGATGGCGAATATATCCAGTACATCTTCCTCCTTTTTCCTCTTTTCTCCACCACAACAATCCTGTGAGGTGGGTTGGTATGAGAGAGAGAGTAAATGGCCAAAGTTATCCAGCTGGTTATAATGCAGGACTAGAACTCATCATCTCCTAGTGATTGGGCCAAAATTACTCGGCTGTCTTTCATGCCTAAAACGGGACTAGAACTCACAATTCTGAAGTCCTTCAAAATGGGCCTGTTCCCAGTAACGCTTCTAATGGGAACCACAGCTTGTCCACGTGCATTTGAATACAGGTCAATGTACAACCATTTGTGTAGATTTACTGTATTTTTCAGAGTATAAGACGCACCTTAGTTTTGAGGAAGGAAAATAAGAAAGAAAATTCTGCCTCGGCCTGCCAGCATTCATCGGTATTCATCCGGTTAGCGTCCTTAGCAAACAGCCTTAGCATTCAGCATGAGCAGCTGATTGGCGGGTGGACCGGCCTCCCGGAATACCCCCAATCAGGCGTTCCCAGAGGTGAACTTTAGCAACAGGTTTGCTGGTTGTGAGCGCGGCGGACACACCGCACCTCGCCGGGGCCGATACACAGCTTTAAAAATGCAGCTGATCGTCGCTGGGTGCTCCATTGAGTACAGCAAGCGAAGCGTGGAACCAGTAACAGAAGCCAGAAGCTGTTCCGGGTTGCCATTTTGGCTTCTGCGCCTCGCGTTTTCAGCCTTAGAACGCTCCGCTTGAGACCCGTTCAAGGCTGCAGGGATCACCAAAGCACATCGCCGCCAGTTGCCGCCTGAAAACGGTAGGCGCAGAGGCCAAAAACATAAGCCACGAAGGGGGCAATGGTCCGTGGCAGTACCTGCTGCTGAAGAGTGGGGGAGAGGGCTACATTCAGTGTATAAGACGCACCCAAGTGTTTACCGTACTTTAGGAAGAGGGAAAGTGCCTCTCATACTCTGAAAAATATGGTATTTCTGCAAATAAATCAAGGTGGCAAAACATATCTAACACATCTTCCTCCTATTCTTTCCCCCACCACGCCTTGCGAGATGTGCAGGGCTGAGAGAGATGGACTAGCTCAAAATCACCCAGCTGGTTTTCATGGCTAAGGTGGGACTAGAAAACATTGTCTCCAGGTGATTGTCCCAAAGTGAACAACAGCAATGAAAAAAAGTGACCTTATGATCATTTTTCACACTTACGGCCATTGCACTATCCCCCATGGTCACTTGATCAAAATTTAGACACTTTCGCAACTGATTCATACTTACGACGGTTGCAGTGTCCCGGGGTTGTTTTTACAACCTTCTGAGTCAATGTGGAAGCCAGATTCACTTAACAACTCTGTCGCTAACTTAACAACTGCAATGATTCACTTAACAAATGGGGCAAGAAAGGTCATAAAATGGGGCAAACACTACTTAACAACGGTCTCGCTTAGCAATCAAAGTTTTGGACTCAATCGTGGTTCTAATCGTGGCCTGGCCTACTGTATTTCCACCAGAATCAGATGGGCAGATCGAGCGTATCAATCTGTAACGTCTAACCCTTTGCATGTGATTTACACACAGATTATCTTGCAATGAATTTGGAGGTGCCCAATGGAGATACCCTCAGCTGCCTTGGCTCCCCGGACGAAAATTTAGGGGACCATCAGCCCTTTCCCGGCGATGAGATGCCCCAGTTTATCGTTTCTCCAACACCAGGGACCTTATCCTGCAAGCAACTTCTTCTCCGACGCGGACTGGCACTGCTGCTAGCGATCGCCATCTTGGTTTTGGGGGTTGTCATCCACCTCCTGCTCTGAGAACTGTGCAGCACGGGAGGATCAGACAGGGCAGCCCGTTGGAAGGGGAGACCTTCTCACCTCATCAGTGTTCACGCCAGAGGATCAAAAAGTGATCCAGCCTTGGATCCAATCCCCAGGGACGGTCGCTCCTCTACCATCGGCCTGGACCAACGATGGGAGTCACCCGCTTGACGTGATTTCTTCACGGGGTGGAAAGACTTAACTCGCCTTTAAAGGCGTTCGGGAAATCACATTGGAATAAATCCAGGTGTTTTTTAAAAAAACGTTGTTGTTTTTAAAAAAAATGGTGTTTTGTATTTTAACTTTTTTGGAATAAAATAAAAATAGATATTAAAAAAAGAAAGGGGAAAAAATCACATTGGAATAAATCCAGGGGTCTTCTGTACACGTTTACTGATAAAATTTCTGTTTTTAAGAAAACTGTTGAAGGTTTGGTTGATCACTCGTGGTTTCCGTCAGCTATCAGGGTTCCAAGTAAAATAACCACAGCAAACTAAACTCCGAGGCAGGTAGAATTCTCAAAAAATAGTTTTATTGGATATATCATATTGGCAGAGGCTGGTGAAAACTGTCTCTGAAGGTTCCCACGGTTTGTCATTTTCTCAAAACAGTCAATCACATGGTCCAATCAAGGCACTGTCCGGTTGCCTGGCGACATCACTCCTCCTCCCTCTGAGCTGGTGGGAGAATGTCCTTGGTTCCCAAGGGAAATTATTTTATTTTGACTACACAACCCCAGGTATCTCAAATCCCCACCCCCACCCCAATCCCTCGGCTCCAGTGTGACAACACCGAAGCCTCAAAATGGCTTTGGCCGGGCCAGCTTCAGGGTTTCCATCAGCAATGTTAACACTGCTTTTAGGAGGTCCCCAGATGTGGTCAAAAAAGTCAAGATGGCAGCTTTGATGGGTCGACTAAAGCTCCCAAATCTTGATGTGCGTAAAAACAGGGTGAATTTCCACGGTGCTGTTGGAGCCATCTCGACTGCTCTCTGCAGTTCCCCCATATCCTGCTTGTAACTCTAATGTTACTCCATGCCATCTAATTTATGTATCGGTGGTCGTTGACTCACAACCAGGATCGGGCCAGGATTTCCACTGTAAAGCAGACGGCTCTTAAGGGAGTCGTGCCCAATTTTGCAACTTTTGGCCACTGTTGTTAAGTGAACCACGCTATCATTAAGCAAATTCGGCCTCCATGATTGACTCTGTCACTTGTCAAAAGCTGGCTGAGAAGGTCACAGGTGGTGATCGTACGACTGTGATGGTGCAACCATCATAAATACGAGCCAGTTGCTGAGTGTCCATGGTCTTGTGTGTTTTTGGTCTTGTGTGTTTTTTCACGGTCCTAAGTCATTTTTTTCAGTGCCCGTTGTCACTTTGAATGGTTACTAAAGAAACGGCTAAGTCGAGGCCTACCTATATGGCAAGAATGATTCATAACAACTTCTATCTTTAGTTAGTTTCTTCTTCATGTTTTTTCCTTTCTTTTGTGTTTCTGTTTCTTCTTCTCTTGCTTCTTCTTCTTTTGTGTGTCTTTTGCATTTTTCCTTCCTCCTTTTGTTTCTTCTTCTTCTCCTCCTCCTCCTCCTCTCCTCCATCTCCTCCCTTCTACTTTTCCCACAATTATGGACTTCTCCAAACTTTTTTTTTTTTAGTTTTAAATTTTATTTACAAACATGTAAAATACACATACACAAAACTTAGACATACACCACATTTACACAATACAATACAAATAGGAGCTTCCTGTTTTTTCTAATAGCAATTGCCAATCGATATCGCTCGGTTCACCGACAAAAGGGCGAACGACAAAACCGCGCCTGACTAAACCGCGTCGCTGACATCATCAACAGGGTGACAACAGCGCGGAGACAGAAGCGCGCTGTAAAANGATAGATAGGTTTAGAGATAAATTTGGATAGAGAGAGGGAAAGAAAGAAATCTTACTTTAACTTCCTTGGCTTCCCTAACTCCCAATTTATCCCTCCCCACTTGAAAAATGCCTCGGACCTCCCTCCCCCCCCCGTCCCAAGGCATCCTTTGGGGTCCTTAGAACAGTGAAGCGGGGGTGGCTGAAGCGCTTGTCCCCTGCCCCACCCCACCGAACCCCCCTTTAAGACCCTCACCCTCCTCTCTGCTTTCCCAGGAGTCTTTGCTGTGGTTATCGCTGCGCTGCTGGCGGCCCTGAAGGACGTGGTGGCCTACATCTTCACGGACGACAAGTGAGACCCTCCCTCGGGGTTTTTTTGCCCCAGGAAGGTTAGGGTGAGAGTCTGCCTGTCGTGCCTCTGTGTGTACAGGCTGTCCTCGATTTACGACCGGTCGTTCAGCGACAGAACCGCCAAAAACTGCTTACTAAAACTGTTTCCAAAGTTGTGATCTCACACACACACACGCACACACGCACACGCACGCACGCACAGGGTCAGTCGATGCGATGGTCGTAAGTGCGAGGATTGGTCATAAATCTTTTTTTTAACGCGCTGATGCAACTTCGAACGGACGCTAAATGGATGTTCGAAAGTCCAATAACTTCCTGTATCTCTTCCAATTGACTTTTTTTCCCCGTGCCGACTTTAGAACTCGGATCTCCTAATATATCGATTTATATATTTTCCCTTCAACAGAGAAATCGTTGCTTTGGTTGCCAAAGTTATGCTGATTTTCTCACCGTTTCACCTGTTCGATGCCATGGCGGTGAGTTTCCGGCATTATGCAAAGCTGTGGGTTGGGGGAGGGGGGGATCTGATGCTCTTGGCGCCCAAATGGGCTTTTGGGCGCCAAGAGCATCGACCATGGTATCCTTCTGCGACGACTGCGGGAGGTGGGGGTGGGAGGCACTGTTTTGCAGTGGTTCTCCTCCTACCTCTCGGACAGGTCGGTGGTTCTCCTCCTACCTCTCGGACAGGTCGG